CAGGCACAAGGAGATATACCATTTAAAATTTCATTACAAAAAATGTATTGATTTATTTTTACAATGAAGATGCTATGCAGTCCTATTTTATATTTGATTAATTAATTTCTGTATCTGAATTCTTACCAAACAGAGCTATTAAAGTAATCTGTTGATATTGTATTCATATCGCAATATAGATCACAGAAAAACAAAACATCGCAATGTCAGATTTTTCCAATATCGTGCAGCCCTAGTACAAGTTAATGATTGATAGGGTTTGAACTAATTAACATTGATAATTGATATCTAATCAGATTATTTCTTTAATTTTATGAATGTCATCAGATTAATTAAGTGTAAAAAAAAAAGTTAACTGTGTTTCCTCCGAACAATTTGTAATTTGAAGTGTGTATATGTAAATATTTTTAAAATTAATTGTCCATTTCATAGTAGATTTTTTTCTGACTCGTTTTTACTTGAATCTGTTCACCAGTTAATTAGTCTTCTCTCTCTCTCTTTAAATGGACAGGTGCCTGACGAAGTAGCCTGGGAGGAAGAGGTGTATGAAGATGAGGATGATGAGAATGCAGAAGCCAACTGGAGGAATGACTACCCGGAGGAAAGCAGCGAGGGTGACAGTGAAGGAGAGGAGCGTTACGGAGGTCAGACATCCAAGCTGTTGTCATGTTTGGTTTTTAATCAGATAAAAAGTCTACATTTTTTGTTGTTGTTTTTTATTAAAGTGCAGTTTGCTGTTACTGGTCCTTAAGTAAAAAAAACACACACACACACACACACACACACACACACACACACACACACACACACACACACACACACACACAATCATTAATTAATAGTTAATGATGCAGAGAATAGAATTAAACAGCTGTGTGTGGACTGTCCTGTCACCAAATGCACTTCAATAATGTAACTAAAATCAGCATATTCCATGTCTTAATTCCATTTCTGTTTAGTTCGATTATGACCCTAATCAGATTAAATTTATCAAATCGCTGTTTACATGGTAGACTCTTAATCAGAGTATTGTTTTAATCATGTTAAAATCTGATTATTGGCATCCACAAATGTACTTATTGCCTCGTTTTATCACTTTAATTCAGAAAATACTGCTAGAAAATTAAAACTGTAGAACCCAACATTAATAGAATTAAAGTGTATATCCAGGTAAAATCCCGCTATAAAATGCTTTAAATGTAGGTCACACTTTACAATAAGGTTTCATTAGTTAATGTTTACTCTAACATTGATTAATAAATGCTGTTATCAGTTCTAGTTCAGCATTTATTCATGCCTAAAAAAACTAGTTAATGCACTTTGAGTTATGATGAACAACTGTATATTCATTAGGGGTGTGAACCTACACGGGTGTCACAGTTTGGTTCAACTGCAATTATTATGCCATTGATTCGGTTCAATTCGATATCTTGGTGCATTGACAATGCTTTCCATAAACAATTTGATATTTTACTTGGCAACAATTTTTGTATTAATTTATAATTTATATACATATATCTGACTGGTTGAATTAACGGACAAATTTGTATTAAACCAATATATGTACTGTACCTTTAATTTTACTTGCTCAAAATACATGCACAGAACAACATGAGCATTAACAGCAGATAAACAAATGTGAAAATTACCGTTTGCTTTGAGCATTGTTGAGCGAGTTCTTAAATGCCTATGATTGGTCACGAGCTCCACAGAAAAGGCTGCGAGTTAACACGGCTCTGACGCTGTTCAGCAAACAGTGACACGGACACGGCGAAGCAGTAGGTAGTGCTGTCGCCTCACAGCAAGAAGGTCGCTGGTTCGAGCCTCGGCTCAGTTGGTGTTTCTGTGTGGAGTTTGCATGTTCTCCCTGCATTTGCGTGGGTTTCCTCCGGGTGCTCCGGTTTCCCAGTCCAAAGATATGCGGTACAGGTGAATTGGGTAGGCTAAATTAAGTATGAGTATGAGTGTGTGTGTGTGTGTGAATGTTTCCCAGAGATGGGTTGCGGCTGGAAGGGCATCCGCTGCGTAAAAACTTGCTGGATAAGTTGGCGGTTCATTCTGCTGTGGCGACCCTGGATTAATAAAAGGACCAAGCCGACAAGAAAATGAATGAATGACAGGGACACTGATGTTAAAAGAACTATCAACTAAGGTCATACTCGCATTATGCTATTCAAACTGGTTCACTTGGCCAGCCCTGGTCCGGTTGGAAGAGGTGTGCCAAAGCGCGGTTCACTTAGGCTCAGGCGCGGTACGCTTGTAGTGTAAGAGCTCGAGACTGAAGACGAGACGTAACTTTTACGGGACTGTTTCATATGAACTTATTAATAATTCTTACTATTCAATAGGGTTGTAACGGTATGAATTTTTCACTGTATGATAATCGTCTAAAACAATACCACGCTTTGACGGTTTCGCGGTATACGGTATGTTACAAATGTTACAAAATAATAGAACAGTGAAGCAAATTTGACTTTTTCCAAATAATATATTTTTAGTTACTATAAACAACACCACTTACAATGAACAAATAAAAATAAAAAAAATTATAAATAATGTGTCAAAGTCCAAATAAACATGGTGCAAATCCTCAGTAAAAAATAGATATAAATATTTACTATACTATAAATAGTTACATAACGAAACTAGATTCAATATGGAACATCCTTAGGTTTTATGTGCCAGCATGGATATGGTTGTCTATCGATATGGATTTGGATTTGGTTGTCTGCAATGCAGACAAACAGCTGCACCTTCATTTGCGTCTTTTGAAAACAGCAAGAGCAGCAGTTCGTCTTTGCTGTGTCACTGTTTTGTCATGTTTCTGTGCTGCTGTGCATGCAAAAGTACTTAGTATGAGAATTATTTCATGAAAAACTTTTTTTTTTTTGCGTTTTATTTAGCCGCGCATAAATGTATGCCTATCTCTCATTCCGTGTTGTTCAAAAAGCTTGGTCCACAAACAAAAGCGAAACCTATGCTTATTGGTTGTGATATAGCGAGTTTGAACCAATCTGGGCATGGAGGAGGGATAATGCATCAATGTATCATGTCTGATTTGTCCGGAGACACAGTGACGAGCGTTTCTTTGTCAAATCAGCGTTGTCAAATTTTGATGACGTAACCGCACTGATTCCGGAGCCTCTGAAAGTCCGCGAATATTATGTGATACAGCACTAGAAAGCTGAGATTCTATTCTTTATGCCAATCTTTGAATTGTATGAATCGGATCAGCGGATCAAAAGTTATTAAACATTTAAGAGCAATACTTATTTTTAGCCGTGGGCGGCTGTCTCGGTCTTTAAGGGTTAAAACCGTTGATATGCAATTGTTCATGGTATGATAATCGTGCACGTTCAAATCGTGGTAAACCGTCATACCGGTATATTGTTACAACCCTACTATTCAATGAACTCAAACTTTCGTGAATTATTAAAGACGCAAACCCCTCACTGCATTACAGCTGCACCTTCAGCAAACCTCATAATTCCTGCAGAATTATGGTTGTATATGAGTGTCAAGAGTGGCTGATATTTTCGGCGAAACATTTGACTGGGTGTCACCGCATCCCAAAGGACTAATACAATATAACTAGAGAAATCTCCACTGTACTGAGCAAAAGTGCTTACTGAACAGCGCATCATCGATGACGGAAGCGTGCCCAGGCCTGAATGTAATGTGAGTGCGGGCCGTCGGGGGAGATGGGAGGGGAGGACAAGCGTGCTTCGGCCCGGTTCAAGGCAACTGTACATAGTCTATAATGGATTAGGACGTACTCGCACTGTGTCATGGTGGAGAAAACTCACTTGTGTCTGGATCCACACGTAACGTTATTGTTGTAACAGCCGAGATGAGATAAAACGTTACCTCCCAAACATGCCAGCAGGTCAAAGGGGCCACTGAGAGAATTTTTTTCTAGCTGGGTTCTGATGCTCTTCCATGTCGGTAAAACACTGTCCAGCAAACTCGCAAGCAGTGAATTGTGCACAGTCATCAGCTTTTTAAGTAGTCGGAGTGTTTTAATTACTTGCAGTCTCCTTCCTAGCCATAGTAAGTTTGTGCCATTTGACGTGATAAATGACGTACATAATAACCGGATGTGATTCATTGCTGAACCGATACCTAATTGTTCAAGTCTGCATCACAGTTCATCAAAGAAACAATAAATTTAGACACCCTTTTGACACCCCTTATTTTCATTAACAATGAACAAAACATTCATTACAGTATTTATTCATGTTAGTTTAATACTTTAATGCAGTCTTATTGTAAAGTATTACCATAATGAGTATTGTAATTCAAATCTAGACACGCGTTGACTGTTTTAAACGTGTATTTTTCTTGTTTTCTTTATGAACACACTTTATGAACTGCTAATAATTCAAAAATCTCAAAACTGGATTAACAATTAAGCACATTTTAAAATGCTGCTTTTTTTCATTCAAATCCCAATGTCTTCTGTTCAATTCTGTTCTGTTTTCGGGCGCAGGCTGCTGGAGCGAGGAGCACTCGTACAGCAGGAGGAGCTGGGAATGCTACAGGCGGGACATGATAGATGAGTTGGAGAATGACAAAGATGAGGATGATGAAGAGCGAGAGTATAATGATTCTGACTGAGCGCCTCTGTGTGTGGTCAAGAGCATGAGAGAGCGAGAGAGAGGCCCTTTTTACTGACGTGTGTTGAGTGAAGCTGTATGTTCTTTTGTCTAAGTGAATGTATGTAGTAGCCCATGTGCGTGTTCTTGTGTGGGTTGCTTTGACTTGCGCGCTAGTGAGATGAGCGATTTACTATTTGCGATATTTTGCGATTGTTTGATGTGAAGATAGTATGGAGAGAAAATGGTGATATTTTGAGTTTGTGTACGTGTGGGGTGATTTGTGTTGTCAGTTATGTGTGTAGTGTTTATACGTTCCCCGAGAGCAAGGGGTGAAAAAACAAAATACTGTAAATATGTAGATGTGTATAAAAAAAAATAAAGGATTCAGAATTAAACTGGAAGTCTTGTGAATAGTTGAATTTATTCAGGTAGAAAAAAAAATATTGATATTCTTTCAAATAAATTAAAAAACACTTGTGTAGAAAGGCAAATAACAAAAGCTGTTCAGAGTGTTTTGTGGTACAAGGTAAACATTTCAAAGAGTCAACTCTTTTAGTCACGTCTGGACATTCCTCCTGAGCTTACCAGGATATTTACCTGACGTATTGCTTATTTGGTTGATGTACATTTAAATTGTTTATAGATTATAATATAGATTTATAGAATGAGCATTCATGACACTTGTTAATGGGAAATATGAAATCATATGGATGATTTAATTTTGTCATGAAAATTCTAAAACCATCTGATGTTAACAGAATTTGAAATGACTGAAAATAAAATTAACTTCAACAATGGATGCTTAAATATTTATCCATTACACAATAATTGATTTTTTTTTTTCTGTTGAACACGAAAGAAGCTATTTTGAAGAATGTTAAACTTTTAATTTCTGTAGAACTTTCTATAGAGTGTGGCTGTTGATGTCTAGGGGTTTTCGACCATATTCAAAATATCTTTTGTGTTCAATGAAAGATCGAAACTTGTAGAAGTTGGGATCCATTTGAGGCTGTAAATGAGTAAACTTTAATATTTGGATGAACTAACCCATAAATAACACCACAAATGTCTCCGGCTTATCTGGCGCAACTTTCTCATTCTTTTCTAGCCTCTTCAACATGACGTTCAGGAGCATAGTAGCAGACTTCAACGTTTTAATCCATACAACCACCTTCCCTATTAAATCCAGTTAAGGCATATGGGCAATTAAAGAGAACTGACCTGCTGAAAAAACCCAACATATGCTGATTTGGTAGGTTTTGACCCTTGGCTGCTGGTTTAAGCTGGTTCCTGTTGGTTGTAAGCTGGTTTACTTTGGTTCTTTGCTGTTCAGGGAAAACTCCACTTTTTTATTTACATAAATAGGCTCATTTCACAAGACATATACAGTTAAACTCTTGAGTTTTATCATGTTTGAATCCTGTAAGCTGATCTCTAGGTCCAATGGCAGCATTTTAGCTTAGCTTAGCATAGATCATTGAATCAGATTAGACCATTAGCATCTTGTTTAAAAAATGACCTTTTTTGATTTTTCCTATTTATTACGTTTAATTTATTTATTAATTTATTTCCTATTACGTGGTGTACTGAGACCAACATAGATGAAAAGATGCTGTTTTCTAGGTTGATATGGCTTTGAACTATACTCTCATTCTGCCGTGAACTTTTCTGCCAAACCAAGGCTGCTGCAGGAGCAACGATATTACAGAATGCCTGAAAATAGTCCCCAGCTAAGTAACTTTCAATGTGAATAGCAAACGCTCCCTGTGCAAGCATGTAGTCATATTGATAAGCTAATTTTCAGGTGTTGTGTAATATTGTTGGTCATAAGCTGGTTTAATTTGGTTCTTTGCTGGTCTGGAAACACTCCACTTTTTTATCAAATAAATAGGCTCATTTTACAAATCCTCTAGAGTTAAACAATTGAGGTTTACCATTTTTTTAATCCAGTCAGCTGATTTCCAGGTCTAATCGGAGCACTTTAAGCTTAGCTTAGCATAGATAATTGAATCAGATTAGACCATTAGCATCCAAAGATTTTTTTAAATATTTTTCCTATTTAAAGCTCGGCTCTTCTGTAGTTACATCATGTACTAGGACCGACGGAAATATTACGCAATGCCTGAAAATAGTCCCAAGCTAAGTAACTTCCAACGTGAAGAGCACACGCTCAATATGCAAGCATGTAGTCATATTGATTAGCTGATTTTCAGGTGTTGTGTAATATTGCACCTAATGTAGCCATGGTACAGTAGCAGTTCCTTGACTATTACGCCGGAATGGTAGTATAGTTCCTTGTCAAATTGACCTAGAAAATAGTAATTATTCATTTTAAGTAAGTCTTAGAACACAATATAACCTAAGAGTCAAGCTTTAAACAGTAAAGTGATTAAAACACTTTTTTTAAGAGCAAGATGCTAATGGTCTAACTCGATACAATAATCTATGCTAAGCTAAGCTAAAAGTGCTCCCACCAGACTTAAAGATTGGCTGAATGGATTAAAAATTAGAAATTTAGTAAAACTCAACTGTTTAACTCTAGAAAGTTTTTAAAAAGTGGTGTGCTCCTTTGAGACTAGGACAAGGCAAAGAACTAACTTAAACCAGCAGGCAAGTGTCAATTTTTTAACTAGCACATGTTTCATTTTTCAGCAGGGAGAAAATAATTTTAAATACTACACATGAATCAACACTTTCATGAGGAAAATAAAATAAAATCTCTTTTGTTTAAAAAAAAAGGATACATTTTAAGTTTAAAATGAATTTCTAAATAAAACTGTTAGATAAAAAGAAAGTAAATGTAACGCAAACACATACGTCTAATTCTCGGCCATGTTCATAATGGCGCACACAAACCACTGCATCCTGTTCATGTCCCTGATTCTCTAATAGTACACAGACGATGTTTGCATCTCAGTACCATTAAGAACCAGAGCTGTAAAACGGCCTTCATTTTCATGCCATTTGGTCCTAAGGACGTATTCCTGAAACCGCAGTGCACTGTGACCTTAACGGAAACCTTTTGTAATAAACAAAAACATGAACCCAACATGGTGCCTTAAGGAGTGCATCAGTGTCTTTAAAGGTGTGGAAGAACTTTTTCCCTTATCTCCAGGTGTTGGTTTCCTCTTCTTGAACCAGAGAAGTGTCCTAATCAACAGTGTCCATCTCGGTGAGCACACAAAAGCAGGTGAACTGGGTGAAACGGGTGATGGCACCTGCGGGACAGAGACATGTTTAAAAAAAAAATGACCACTAACATTTTTAGGTCACACTTTATTTTGATGAGGAAAAAGCACATACCACAAATTTGCTTTAAATTAAATAGTTTAGGCTTGTCATTTGCAGTTAATGTAGTTTATAGCGAATGCAACTATAATTTCTGTTGGTTTTATACTGACATTTGCCATTTCTTTTTTGTTTTGAATGCTGTTTAATTTAAATAATGAGTGAGGAATTAAATTACTTGCATGTTTATGTTGTATATGTTGGTGTGTTTTCTCCAAACAATGTGGTTTTGATTTATACATGTGATATTTTCTGGAAAATGCGGTAATTAAATGCTTACTAAAAGATTCAGAGTTAAAGTAACATTGCTTTTTTTGAAAAAATATATACATTTTACAAGTCCCCTTGAGGTAAACAGTTGAGATGTACCATTTTTTAATCCATTAGGCCAATCTCCAGGGGCCTCATGTATGAAGATTTGCGTTGAATTAATACCAAAACATTGCGTACGAACGAAGCTATCAATTTGCGTACGCAGTAAAAAAAAAAAAAACGTATGTATGAAATACTGAGCACGGGGAATCCCACGCATATTCTCTTTGTACATCCGAATGAACGTGAAACTGAGCCCACGTGCACGACCGCAAAACCCCTTCCTGCCTCATCCCCCATATAAATATGCTAATGACTCCACTTTGGCAAAACCAAACGAAAAAGCAAGCAAAAGAGAAACTTCACAGAATGTGAATTGGAGGTGCTGGAGGTAGACTGGAAGAAAACTGTTATTTTCAAGTTTGACCTCTGGAATTAATAACAAGAGAAAGGGAAAAAAATAGAGTGGGAGAGTTTGACGGACGTGGTTAACGCCATAGGGTCTGAACATCGCACTGTGAAAGAATTAAAAAAGAAATGGTCCGATGTTAAGAGGAGTTAAGAGTTAAGGTGCGGGTTAAGAGGGGAACAGCAGCACACCGTCAAAGTGTGGACCGAACAGGCGGGGAAACAGGGGATGCTGAACTAACACCCTTTAAGGAAAGAGTTGCCTCAATTGTGGGCGACACTTTACTGTCTGGAGTAGTATCCGTGTCTATGGGAAACACAGATGTATTAGAGGAACACTTTGTTAGTGGCGGTATAGCAGCACCCCTCCGCTCTCAAGGCAGCGTCACTGGCATTTCAACTGCTCGCTGACTGAGTGCGAGAATGGGCATCTTTGTATCTGCGCTCTTGGTCAGTTTGTGGGTTGTTGAGGGAGGTTAACGTCCACGTCTTTAATGGATAACCACAGTCTCCTGATATGCAGTTAAATAGTTACACTTGATTAAATAAAATACTTTTTTTTTTTTAGCTGGAATAATATCTTTAAATATGTCACTCACCAAGAAGCCACCCATCGTGCATTTGTGAGGATGAATAAATCAAGGCTTGACCAAGGCCACCTTGCCACAATATTGTAAAAATTTGCAAATGCTTTTATATGTTCTAAATCACATTATTAGTAAAAGAAAATGTTGTGTCAATTAAACCCATTTTATCAATTAGAAATTAATAGCAATGTTTTTCACATGTGTTGGTGCGATACATTGTAGTGTGCAATTGAACATAATTGCCTCTAAGAGTTGCCAATGGAAATAAAACAAACACACACACAAGAAATACACGTACGCCAGACATGAAGTTGGCGCAGACCAAGGCACATTCTCACGTTCATTTCATCATTAGTAAATCCAAATGCGAGCGTGAAACCTGCCGTACGCAAAGTTTTTGTGCGTCCTCAGAGTTGATGCATGAGGCCCCAGGTCTGGCGGGAGCTTATTTAGCTTAGCTTAGCATAGATAATTAAATCGGATTAGACCATTAGCATCTCGCTCAAGATTGACCAAAAAGTTTCAAAAATGTACTGTTTAAAGCTTGGATTCAGTAGTTACATTGTTCAAGATTGTTTCACATTGTTCAAGAAGTGTAAATGCTGTGTGTGACAAGTGAATGCTACTATAATTCAGGTTGGTTTTAATCAGTTAAAACAGAGGTAAACAGTTGAGATTTACCATTTTTAAATCCATTCAGCCAATCTCAAAGTCTGGCGGGAGCTCTTTTAGCTTAGTTTAGCATAGATAATTGAATCTGATTAGACCATTAGCATCACGCTGAAAAATCACCAGAGTTTAAATTTTTTCCCTATTTTTAAAGCTTTAATTATGTAGTAATGTTGTGTACTAAGACCAAAAAATTCAAAGTTACTGTGTTCTAGGCTAAAATGGCTAGGAACTATACTCTCAAATCAGCTTACTTCCGTCATTAAAACCAACTTGACCACCTGCTTGCACAGAGAGTGTGCCTTGCAAACAAGCAGACATTTGTTAGTGATGATTCCGACTTTAGTGCAGATCCTGAACCATATCTACTTGAACCAGAATAAGCTGAAGTTAGCTGATTTCCAGCCACCGAGTAATATCAATGCATTGTAAAATGGTGCCTACGTTAAAAAAGTGGAGTGTTCATTTTAAGGCAGCAGTACTTACTCAGTAGTTTAGTGATAATCGGTGGCCGCTTGGACTCTGGAAGGTGGATGCCTAAGAAGTAAACTGGCACACCGGAGAGGGCAATAGCAATTCCAATGAGTGAGTTGAGTGTGTCAGAATAAAGTGGAACCGCCACCAGGAACACAACACACAAGCAGAAGATGATGGGGTACACCAGACTCAGCTGTGTGGATGCAGAAAGAAAGAAAAAAGGACAACAAGCGTTTAGCTCATACAATGTCACATTTAAAATTTGCAATTCAATTTAAAGGCATATATTCAAAAAATGACATTTGCTGTTTGATCAAACAACTTATTTAAATTGAGTTAAACAACAAAACAACACCATTCTTGAGGTTTAGGTCACAACTTATTAGTTTTTGCAAATTTAAGTGGATTGAATGTAAAACACTTAAGTTAACTTAATTCCTTCATGTTGTTCAAACAAAACCAATGTTTTTTTTACAGTGTAGTTCAGCAAAAAATTGAAAACTCAGTCACGGTGATGTAGCGATTCACCCGACTCACGATTCAATAGGATTCACGATACTAATCTCACGATTTAGTCACGATTTCTGAACAAATTTAAGGTGAAGACCCCCTTTTTTTCTTAAATACTGCACATTTTTTGCAAAATATAATATATTTTCTGCCATAACTAAATTGCTATCATTTTATTTTAATTTTTAAAGCGGGAGCTCTTTTAACTTAGCTTAGCATAAATAATAGAATATGATTGGACCATTAGCATTTAGTTCAAAAATGAACAAAGAGTTTTCAAAAATATTCCTTTTTTTTTTTAAGTTTTATCTCTTGTAGTTACACTAGTTACCTACAAATTAAGGTGAAGAGCTCTTTCATTTTTTTTCTTAAATGCTGCACATTTTTTGCAAAATTTATTTTCTGCCTTAACTAAATAAAAAATTAATTAATTAAAAAAAACAACTTCAACTTAGCTTAGCATAGATAATTGAATCTGATTAGACCATTAGCATCTCGCTCAAAGATGACATTTTTGCAAAATATAATATTGACATTCATATTGACATTCCAACATTCTTAATATTACCTTGTTTTGTTTTCAACAGAAGTGAGAAACTCATAAATGTTTGAGCTACTTGAGTCCAAGCAAATAGTGGCGATCACTTTAAGGTGTAAACTCAGCAGCATATTTTAAATCTTTGTTTCTTTCTGTTTTTTTTTAAAGCATTTATTCTTTGTATGTGAATCATTGCTCATCAGCTAGTTATTTACAACATTCCGAATTTGCGCTCAGTAATTTTTTTCTTATTGCTAACAGAAGCTGTATTGATTAAAAGTGCAGTAAAACAGTAATACTATGAAATAGTATCAGAATTTAAAAGTATACTTTTTTTATAATGGTTATATTTTAATTATATATCAGAAATTTCAGCATTACGCTCGCTTCCAGTGTTACATGACCCTACAGTGTTAAAAACGATTTGATTTTTAGTGAAAATAGTGATGATAGTAACCAATAATAATAATAATAATAATAATAATAATAATAAGTTAAAAAATCATTTGATTAATTGAAGATGTTCTTGCTGAATAAAAGCACTAATTCTACATAATATGAAATTAACCACAAAAACTGCATGGTATTTAAGAGTGTAGATGTTTGCAACAGATTAATGAATTTAAGATATGCAGTTTTACATGTTATTATTAAAAGCTATGCATTTTATTTTATCTACAGTAGTCAATATTTAAAATGGATCAAAGCCTTTCACCAAGGTTGTCATAAAAATATTGAACAACACCCATTCCTTCTGTTAGGAGAAGAAGAAAAAAAATGTAATCTACCTCAAAATGTTGACTACAGGATATACCTTTACTTGATTACCTTCAGTGGTCGGGGTCTATCGGGCTCCTTCCAGCGAAGGTAGATCTGTCCGGCGATAGACAGACCAACGAAAAACCAGTAACTGAAGCTGTAATAATTAATCAGCTGGAAAACATCCTCCACTGTAAGGTAAATGAGAGCCATGGCACACTGCAGACAGAAAACACAACGTAAGACACCAGATCCACTAGATGGAGACAGAAAACATCAAATATACAAGACTAGTTTATTAGATGGCAATAAAATGACATTCAGAAAGCTACATTTAAAAAAAATAAAAAGAAAATATGTAAATTGTCATTAAATGAAGAAAGGAAAGATGCATTAGGAGTTATACAGTGTAGCTGAAATATACTTGCATTGAAAAGCAGAGCAGGAACTGGTGTGAATCTCTCAATGTGGATCATAGACAGAGCATCTGGAAGATGACCTTCTCGAGCTCCCACGAAAAACAACCTGCAGCAGCCAGAGACACATTTAAATAAACAGCAGGTCTATAATGACCCAATTAGGGTTATTTTAACCAACTTAAGCCATGAAAACTGAAGGTCATTACTTCAAATAACAACTAAAAATCAATTATTAAAAACAAAGATATATTCCTTAACACTTTTTTAACAAAAAGTTTTATTGAGGAAAACGAGATCAGTTTTAACACCATTTGTTTATTAGAAATTCCTCTATACTAGTAGTTTTTTTTTATTTTATTATAAAATGTCAGTATCTTAGGCCATCTTCATGGCAAGAAAACTGAAGTATCAAACAAAAGTAAAACAAGCAAATAGAAATTGCACATATTACAATTAAACAAAGTAACAAAAAAAGAAGAAAAAAAAAGAAATAAAAAAACAAAAAAAATTTTGTATAATTATTATTAAAATCTTACTGATGTCCCTGAGTGAGCATACTTCATAACAGTTTTCTACCCAGGACAGTGCATTGATGTTTATGCTCATGTAAAGGGTGGTCTTGCAGGATTTACATCAAGTATGATCTACAAGTAAACACCAATTTAATATATATATATATATATATTATTTTTTTTTTTTTTTTTTTAAGGAGATTAAAAGTTTTTTTGATTATTCAATAATTTACTCTTCGAGCCACATTGAGACCTCACTATCTCTGTAACTGAACATTATAGAGTCTTAATATGCAAGTTACTAAAAGAAAGGTTTGTTATGAACCAATAGAGCTACCATGTTCAGTGTATAAGAAAACATAATGATGCTGATATCTTTCTAAAGTCACTTTACTTCATGTACACTAAATTAGTTTCAAATCTCAAGTGAAAGGTTACTTCGAACTCCCTTTAAAATAATGAATTACTCAGTAATTGTAGCCTACAGTATATGCATGTTATTACTATACAAGTTTGTCTTTCTTTAGAAAAAAAATAAACAAAAACAAATATGGAATATTATACTGATGATGTCAAACAACAATTCCCAATACTAAAATAACAAACCTAAGCACAGTACTGAGAAAGCAAACTATCAAATGCATAATTGCAATCGAATCTAACACAATTGAACACATAATTGCACACACACACACAAAAAAAAAAACACACAAATATCAATGTACAGTTCATTTTAGTTCAAATATTTTGCAAGGGATATTTAACCAAGCAAGACAATTTTTACAGTATTTCTTATGATAAACTTTCTAATTTCTTTTAGTTTTCCTGGAATGGCTGGAAAGCAGTTTTGTTTTTTGACCCAAATTTTACACTGTTAACAAACTAATTAACCTAGCCAAGCATTTAAATTGCATGTTAAACTGAATACTAGCATCTTGCAAAACAACAAAAAAAATTTATGTATGGCCACCATGGCAATTACAAAAGAAACTAGTTATTATAAATTAGTTATTAAAACGTTTAAGTTTAAAAATATTTTCTAGATTAAATAGCACCAAGGAAGTATTTTAAAAGATATGTAATATATGAAAAGGGCTAATAATGTTGACTTAAACTCTATATAAAAAAACTTGAACAAATATGTGCTACAAATATGACATCTCAAATGATCTGAATTCCCATCAGCCCTGCATAAACTCCCAAAAAATTCCCAACCCTCCTCAGATCCCATTATCTTATGCAGGGAGTAGTGACAGCACCCCCACATGGTCATTACCACAAAGCATCTCCAGATGGTGTAAGAAACTGAGCAGCTCCCTATAAAAACCACAGGAGCTGAACTAAGCTTTGTTCCTGCACCCTGAGGTTAACTGCAGTCGTTAGGAATAAACTTGAGAAACAAAGCAGAGGTTCGAGTGGAATAATAAAACCATAAAGTCAGTGAATTGTACAGGGCCATATTCAAAACGAGTAACACCAGCATAACTACTCAATTGTGCTGTAGCTATGTGGTCAATGGTGACGTTTTCAAATCAAGTATCAGAGTTCTGACAGACCTGGATGCAGCGATGATAGAAGAATTAAGACCTCCGTAACAGGATAAAGCAACCGCAATGGGGATGGTCCAACTCATTACTCCCAGGGTGTGATCTGCAAACGTCTGTGAAATGTTTTAGAAACATTAGCGACTTAAGAAAGATACATTTATCAAATCAAAATGTAAAAAGTGTTGGGGACAGTTACTTTTGAAAGTAGTGCATTACAATATTGAGTTACTTCCCCCAAAAAGCAACTAATTGTGTTACGTATAGTTACTTTTAATGAAAAGTTATGCGTTTAATTACTTTCGAATTACTTTTGTGTTACTTTACCTTACCAGGCTGAGGTCTTTCAGAACTTTTTAGAGAAGCTCTGCATTTTACAACCACCTATATAACCTACACCTTCATTTTCCTTTAAAAAATGTAGGATAAAATTATATACTGAGAACTTACTGAACCCAGAGCTATGCATGTTGTATATACAGATTAATGAAAGCATGTAAAGTTATGTGTTTGCTACTTTTGAATGTTTTGTGTTACTAGTGAAGTAAATTCACTGTCCATTGAGATGGAGACTTCAATAAAGTCTAAGAGTACTACCATAACATAAGTTATAAGGCAAAAACTGATTTTAAACCTTAAAATGTTTAATAACAAAATGAACAGCAAGACTATAAAAAAAATCCACAAATCAAAATAAATATTCAAGTTATTTACATTGAGTAAATTGCTTCACATGGCCTTAAAAAATGTGTAAATCACTTCCCAAAAGAGAAAAAAAAATCATAGTGGCTTTTACAGTAGACAGTAGCTGTGTTTCCATCCACCCATTTGATGCGCAATTTTGAAAATGAGCACATACATTTACACATACATTTAAAATATAAAATGTATGTGTATAACTGAGGATAAACTTTTTATTTGATAAGAAAAGATGCACATAAACTACAATATAAACACTTTTACTGAACAGATTGCATTATGCAAATTAAAATATGTCATGTGATTTTGTTATAAGAGATCATGTGATGGAAAAAGAAATGTGTGTGAGTGGATTAACTAGCAGGCTGAGCGGCTTGTAAAACATCTGAAATGTTGTTTTGGTCATTCGAAAATGCCTTAAACATTTCAGTATTAGTGTTATTATATTGTTAATAAATCGTTTGTTTAAACCAGAGGGAACCGGTCGAAATAGTTCATTAAATTGAACAGAGTTGTTGTGAAGCGGTTTTTGTCTTTAGTAAGTACTTAATTACTTATTTTTAACATAAAGGATACCCCCTCTGACTCAAAATAAACCAATATCCTGAGTTATTCAGTTACTAGAACAGTAGAATGACACATCTGCTGTAAAAAAAGACCTGCTGATGAGTGTAAGCTGACTGTCTGTTCTCTTGCAGCACACTATTTCGCTGAGTGTGTGATTTAACCTGACTAAGGTCATTGTTATTCCACAATATGTTATTTGAAAGCCAATTAAGCAAAGTAAAAAGTAACTCATGTTACATTTTTTTTTCAAAAGTAACTTAGATAATGTTACTTATTTTTAAAAGTAATGCGTTACTTGACTCATTACTTTGGAAAAGTAATATTATCATGTAACTCGCGTTACTTATAACATGTCAACCCCAACACTGAAAATGAAAAATGGCCACTTTAGAGAGACAAATTTCAACATGTTATGGACACTTTTCACTTCCACTTCCAACAACAGACAGTAGATCATGACAGAAGTGTACAGTAGCCAATTAAAGCCTGTTACTGCTAAATTAAGGTATGATGTGTGGACGTATTTTATGTTTAAAAGGCAAATATGGTAAAGACAAAAACACTTGCTACCCATGTAAATAATCATACCAATGCCTGACGAGAGCGGTGCCATGTGACTTCACTAAAAACAAAAGAACGCACTATATAATCTTTATATTTGGAAGAGCTCATCCCTATGCCGTAATCCCTGCGATGGGTTTACCCTCGGAAATAATGGCTTTAAAGGTAATGAGAGGGGTCTGGATGCAGACTTGCTGGAGTTGCAAGGTGAGCTGCATGCAATGTGTTTTAATGTACACACCAAACCCCACCACCAGATATGCAGTCTCAGCTTGCAAATCCAAGTATGCTTCTAGATACTATTTAAGTTAATAGGGAATAAGGATGAGCCCGTCTGAATGGAACGCAGAGAGACTCCAAACAACCTCACTGCGCAAAGGATCATAGGGGCTCCAAGTGTCCATCAGTTGTATACTTTTGAAATCCACCATTTCAAGTGGGCCTTTGAAGTGGCCAGTTTTGAGCCATTGGCTTGGAATGACTCTTCAATATGGTGGCCATGACTGTCCTTCGTTCCAAAGTGTCTTTCGGGTGCGATATACTGTATCCAGTTTGGAACGCACTGTCTGTCTACACTAGATGCAGCAATGTTTGGACACAATGAACATTCTGTCATCATTTGCGCATTCTCCAGTTGTTACAAACTTGTCCAACATTATTCAGAACATCTTGTTTTGTGTTCAACAGAAAAAAAGAAATTCATAAATGTTTAAAACAACTTGAGAGTGAGCAAATGATGAAGATTTTTTTAAAAACTTTTTTTTTAAAAAGATTTCTAATAGAGGTCTAAAAGACATCTAATTATAGTCGTCTTGGCTCAAAGGCTAAATTTGGGCTGTCAGTGAAAATCTAATAGACGTCTAAGAATAGGCCAAAACTAGTCTAGTCATCAAATAAACAAAAATTAATGACTACTATACATATTAAGTCGGTCTAATCTATCTATTTGATGACTAGTCTAGCTTTGAACTATTCTTAGATGTCTATTAGATTTTCACTGACAAATTTTCACAGATTTCCGCAGATTTTTAGCCCATAATTGAGTCTATTTATTTACTACTTGTGGGAAGTGTGCAAATTTTGGTTTATTTGGTTTTTACATCAATTTCAGTATTAATATTGACTAATATGAAAATGTTTATATGATTTATTTACAAAACAGTTTGTCAAGTAATATTTTCTGTCTTTTAGTAGATATATTACATGAGACACTGCTTTGTTTACCAAATAAGTGGATCTAATTGTATTTGAATAGTAAACATTAAATAAAACAAACATTTTTATTTCATATATTAAGTTTTTAGTTATGATATTCCCAAAATCATTCTGCATAAATCCTCAGATTCTTTCAAAATTCTCTGCTGAAAAAGCACAAAAAAGATTCTGTCTGGCCCTAAAGATGACCCAAAAGTGCATTCTAAGGAACAGCTCGTGGTCCTCTACATTCCTTCCAAAGCTCTCAATCTGCAGGGTAAACCCTTAGAAGAGATTGGAACATAGAGATAAGCCCTTCTGAATAGAACAAAGCCGGTAACATGAACTCACCACAGCGACAGCATCACTGGCAAGGATGGCACTCATGTCGAGCACAGCATAATAGGCCACATTTGTAAGAATGTAGATGATTGTAACAATCGGCATGGAGATTGCAATGGACAGAGGAAGGTTCCTGTCACACACAAACATAGATGTGTCAGCTATCTTATCAATACCTATTTTTGCTTACTGTATCTAAAAAGGAACAGAAAGTCAGGGAAATGTCACACAAAAGGTCAAAAGTACCTTTCAGGGTTCTTTATCTCTTCTGTGACAAAGTTAAGCGTGTCCCAGCCTGAGTATGAGAAAAGTGCCGAGTACAACGCCAAAGCAATACCTCCTGGGTCACGAGACGAGCCTTGGAATGAATCTTCAAAGTTTATTGTGAAACCTGCGTGAAAAACATTGCAAAATTACTGAAACGTTTAGCCCCTCTTCAAGATCAAGGTTTTGCTCTTGTTGTCTCAGATGGAATTTTATATCTAACGTACTGGCATTTTAAATTTGTTGTTAGTGAGATTTTGTAAGATGCTACAACTGAAAAAATACTTTTAGTTAGGGCAGCACTATATATCAGTATATATATATATATATATATATATACATACATATATATATACACATATATATATATACATATATACATATATATATACATATATATATACATATATATACACATATATATACACACATATATATACACATATATATACACATATATATACACATATATATACACATATATATACATATATATATACACATATATATACACATATATATACACATATATATATATATATATATATATATATATATATATATATATATATATATATATATATATATATATATATATATATATATATATATATATATATACATATATATACATATATATATATATATATATATATAGATAGATTATCAGGATCGCAATTTGTGCATCCCCATAGTCAGGGATAGGCAGTATTTATGATAAATGTATTTCAATTAGATATTTTTAAAACATAGTAGTATTTTGTAATTTGTATTTGATAGGGTTGATGATAATGGCTTAATATTTTGTATGAAAATACTTCAGTGTCTTGTATTTTAAAAATACTGTGAAGTAAGAAGTTTACATGACATCATAAATTTGCAGCCTTGATTGGTACTTAGTTATTTACCAAGGCTTGAGATGAGACTATAAAATGTATTAAAACTGAAGAAGTTAATCAGTGCTTGGAGTTTGGATGGAAATTATGCATCACATATAAATAAAGTAACAGACAAAAGCAGGGGTAGAGTTGGGAGCAAGTCAAAATGAAACAGGAAAATAGGCCAAACAAAGTCCTACAGTGGCCATACCTACAAATTGTCATTCAAATACCAGTAGCTGATCCGAAGGTGCTTTTTATAGGTTATACCAAACGTAGACATAGTTAATCAGTATGAGCCAAAATATTTAATAATACTTCAATCTACAAACTCCCACCTCAGGTTTCATGGCAGCAAAAACAGATAGGATTTTTTTTTAGTCACGTCACAGGTAATGGTATGTCAGTTAGCTTTTATAGGTGATCACGCCTCATAATTTGAGATGCATATAATTTGTAGGTTAATTTCAAAGTTTAACCAATGTGGGATTAAAGCTCATAGTTGGCATACGTTCCTGTCTTAGCACAAGTGAGTTTAAGGTGCAAGAAACAACTGCATTTTTAGCTTTAACAAAGATTAATTGCATTTCATTTATGTAGTAAAGACTGTGTAGTGGTATTTTACATTTAATTATTCAATACATGTCTGACTACTATTAAGACTTCCAAGAAAAAAAAGAAAACAACAACAACAAAGCATTTGTTCTTTTTTGTATATTTTCTATAGTATTTATTTAGTTTATTATATATTTATGCAGGCTAACGAATATTCAAAATCTTTGCAACCATTTTAAAATAATTCATTATTCACAAGTTATTCAAGCCACCTATTGGAATAGTTTTCACATCAAAAATGCTAAAGATTGCAATGTAATTCTTCCCCAAATTCTTGCAGGCCTACCTTCAGTCAAACTCTGCTGTGTGTACAGTCATGCTTTTATAAGTGTGCACTGTCTCAGTTAAATAATCTATGAAATCTAAAATATCTTGTTTGTTTATATAGAAGAAAGTAACTCTGCTTTAGAGCAAGTGGAGGATAAATAAATTTTCATTATTGAGTGAACTGGATTATCTCTTTAAAATTAAACCACACTGAAATGAACTAAACTGAATTTCAACTCTGAAAACTGGACGGACACAGTTTCAATCTACAAGAACTTCTATGTTAAGCTGCTTTGACACAATCTACATTGTAAAAGTGCTACAGAAATAAAGATTAATTGAATTAAAAACTGAACTGTCACTTACAGCAATTTGGCTGGGTTGACATAAGCAAGCAAAACATCCCAAAAACCTGTGGCTTACCAGGTAAAGTCATGTATATTCTTACCTTGGCACAGTTTTACTATCCCTGTGATTATAATGACAATGAGGGCCAGCACTTTGGCGTAAGTGAAGACATCCTGCACCCTCGTACCCCACTTAACATAAGCAGAATTGATGAAGGTCAGCAAACCTGAAATATAAATCAACAGAGAGCATGTTAGCATAACAATAAATATTCGCTGACATAATTACTCTGACAAGTTATGGTTGAAATGCATAACTCCCATTGCCAAAAGCTACATTTACTTGAGAATGTGGACAAATAAGTATGATGTAACAAACATTTTGATAGTCTACTGTCATATCAGCTATGCAGAACACAACAAGCATAATGGTTTCAAGGATATTGATTTGTTTCCCCAATATGACAGCTCTTATAGTTTTTGAAATTTAAGACTTTAAGACCCAGATGATACCCTGCTATGTTTACCGTTCGCCAACATAAATCATTTAAAGTAACTTAATCATTTTTGCTAATTTAAATGGATTCAACATAAAATAAGTTGTCTAAAAGAACCTCAGTAATTGTGTTGATTCTGCTTATTTTAAATAAGTAGTTTGAACCAGCCAAAATCATTTTGTAATGTGTACCTTCTATCCAGTCAGAGAAAAGTTTCATCTCATTGAACACAAAGTACCATTCTTCTCTTTATTTGACTTTTTATTCATTTGTTTATTTTTACTTTTAATTATTTTACATTTACAGACATAAAAGTATAATGAGCAGAGAGAGGGGAAGGAATCAAACTCAGGTAGCTGTGAGCACGTGCACTTAATCACTAGACTATTGGCGACAACTACCACATCTAAATATTAATGGCAAAGCATTAATAATAAATACGTTATACATGTTATGCGTTTTAAAAACATCCATATAGCGCTGTTATTTACATGCAAAGTACAATTAAAGAAAACCTCTAAATGCCATCTGAAATGTTCTTGTAAAAAGAGCATTTTCTCATGCTTCTCTGTAGATTTAGTATTTTCACTTTTATGAAAAAGAATATTCGTTATATTCCCTTTAAAGTCAAATGATTGAACATAAGCATAAGAGACTGAGAGAAATGCTCATTTTAAAAGAAAACATCAGACACACTTAGAAGTTTTTGACTTCTTCAATTGTTACCTTGGACCACAAACCAGTCTTGTTGCGCAGCTATATTTTGTAAACGTACAACTGTAAATATGTAAAAATTCAATGTTTGACTGGTTTTATGCATTAAGAGCTTAATTTGAATAACTTTAAGTGTGATGTTCTCAGTATTAAAAAACAAATCTCAGATTTCAGATTTTCAAATATTTGGATCTCAGTCAGATGAACCTCAAATGAAAAAAAAAAAAAAAAAAAAAATTATATATATATATATATATATATATATATATATATATATATATATATATATATATATATATATATATATATATATAAGAAATTAAATTTGCCTTGTCTTTTGACATAATTATAAGAAGTAATTATACTGTTAAATTACCTGGCAAACTAACAAAAAATAAAGAAAGAGAGAAAAAAAGAAAGAAAGAAAGAAAGAAAGAAAGAAAGAAAGAAAGAAAGAAAGAAAGAAAGAAAGGAAAAAATAAATTGATAAAAATAAATGAATAACAAATCAATTTAAAAATACAAATATATACAAATAAAAAAAGAAAGATTTTTTTTAAATTAACAATAAATGAATAAAAAATAAATAAATATGAATAAAAAGATTTTAAAAGAAAATGTATAAATAAATAAATACATTTTAAAATAAAATAATTAAAAATACAACAAAAAAAATCAATAAATAAATAAAATAATTGTTAACAAAAAATTTAATATATATTTATTTAATATTTATTTATATATATTTTTTTTACTTCCTGGATAATTTAACATTATAATTACCTAATAATTAATAATTAAGTCAAAATACATGGCAAATTGAATTTCTCCCTTCATGACACCTTTAAACCAAACAACAACAACAACAGAATCTTCCTGCACTTTTGGCACCGCAATCAGTTCCTCCCTCTGACATTAAAAACTAACACAACTTGAATAGATTAATGTGGAATAGCTAAAGTTTAGTGCTCGCCATGCCAACGGTAATGATTCCCTCATTTAGAGTAGCATGTCTAATGAAGCTGCTGGAGGTATCCAAGTAAAACAGTCAGAAGAGGAGAGGCACCACCGAACCAGAACAACGGGCTCAAAAACAGGTTACTCATTAACTTCCTCATGACATTTAAAAAGTTCGACCTATAATAAGTCTCAGCACCTTATCAGATCTTAGGGTGCGAAAACAGAATATTAAAAGTGAAAGAATGTGAAAAACAAGCATGGAGAGCAACGGTATGTCCTGTGAATTTTACTTACAGATACAAGCTGCAGCAATGAGCCGAGACGCAGAATACGGCGGCTCGCAGGTGGGAAAGAGAGGTTGAACTAGATAGTTGGCAAAAGTGATGGCTATTACCGCCTGGCTTGTTGGTTCAATGATAAGCAATGATGTCCACAGGCGTATAAATGCTATAAAACCTCCAAACGACTCTAGGATGTAGGCATAGCTGGCACCAGACTTTGTAATTGTGGTACCCAGCTCTGCATAACAGAGAGCGCCCACCACTGAAAAGATGCCGCCGATTGCCCAGATTACTAGAGACAGTCCATAGGAGGCGCTGTAAATGAGAACACCCTTCGGTGAGACAAATATGCCCGAGCCAATCATGTTGCCCACGATGAGGCTGACGCCGTTCAGGAGGGAAATTTCCTTCTTTAGCTGCATGCTTTCTCTGGGTTTGGAAAGGGCTGCAGGACTCTCGGGCTGGCCGTTCATCTTTTTGGAGTCAGTGTTGTTCTCCATCCTGTCCACAGGATGTGTTGGTGCTCGGAGACAGAGGGGTCCCTCGTCGACCTTGTCCAACCTGACAGAGATCAGAGATCCTGACATTAGAAAAGGGACAGTAGATTTGGTGTTTTACTTCAAAATTCAAATGCTCTCATTATTTTCTAAACTAGTGAAATTGTTTTATTTTTTGGATTTTTAAATTTTTTTTTGCGATATACATTTCGATATTAATTGGAAAATTGTAGATTCAATTTGGAAATAATGTATAATGTTAGATGGATTGGGATGATTCTGCAGTGGGAGTGCATCTCCATAAAATCTAATAACAATCTATAAACTTTTTGAGGTCCCTCTGACCCATTTTCATTGTGGTCTGTGCTATTTGCAGTGCATTTCTGTATTTGCATGTGTTCTATAAATACAGTCAAGACAAAGATACAATTGAAATAGTGTTTTATCGTTTCCAGAGTCTAACAGTATTCAAGTACAGTAGCTGAATGATAAAAATAAATACAATTCAATAAAATTAATTGTAGTTAAGTTAAAAAATGATCCAACTTCTTATACCTGAATGCTTTTAAAATCATCAGAAACACATGCAAACGATAAATTATAATTCAAACTCAACATTGCATATATACTGTGATGTGATCATTCGCAATAGTCACATCGCAATATCGATGCTGAGCCAAATTTGTGAGTGGTATACTTATATATGCTGAGTACTGTAGTTATTAAAACTTTTATGTTAAGAAATGTGTTCAAACAAATCTCTTCATTAAAAACGTAAATTGGGGAAAAATATACAGGGGGGCTAATAAATTAGGAGGGCTAATAATTCTAATTTCGACTGTAAATCTCAGTATTTTTGCCAACTGGAAGTCAGAAGGAAAGTGTTGTTTTTATTAACAAAAACTATTAAAAATGGTTTTCAGTAACTGTAATATACAGAAATAAAATTAAACCCAATAGATGAAAGATTAAAACTTATAAATATGATTTCTAAAAATATTTTGTTGCAATTATTCCAGATGCTTTCTTAACATTTCAAACAAACATCCATGTCAACCAACCAAAGCTATTTTCGTGACAAGAACATTTTAATTTTAAATATATAGGATTAAAAACAAACAAATAAATACAGAAATTAAATAAGCTATTTTTTGTGTTAATACATGATAAACAAAATCTAAAAACTTTTCCTGGTGTCACTTTGTTAAAAATGTCCTTAAGAGGGTTCATTTATTTAAAAAAATGTCTTCTGGACTCATTAAAAGCAGGACAGTTACGTAGAATGTGTTTTACTGTAAGGGGAGTTGTGGAGTACAAACACTGAGTGGGGTCTTCACCTTTGAGCAAAAAGGCATGGGTTAATCTTGTATGTTCAATACAACATCTAAAAATTACTTGATCAAATCTAGTCTTAAAATGTCTTAAAACTGAGATTTAAGGTAAAATTTCTCACAAATCATATTGGTCACACTTTATTTTGATGGTGCGTTTGTTGAAGTTACTGTATATTGACAAAGTAATTTTCATTAGATTATAAGTAGACTGTTAGTTTGGGGTTAGGGTTAGTGTAAGTTGACATATACTTGCAAAGTCAGTTAAATGTCAGTTGAAGGAACAGAATCAACAGATATTAATCGGACAGTCTACTTGTACTCAAATGGACCATCAAAATAAAGGGTTACCATTATATTTTTCCAATGCATCCCACTCCTCTTGCCACTTTTAAAAAATGTAAACAGATTTTTCACTGAAGAAATGAAGCTATGCAGATCTGAAATGACATAATGACTAGTAAACTATCTCATAAATTGGACCTTTTTGGACTAATACTTCTTACGGTCGCAATAATCAATATATTGACTTATCTCGCAATACATAGACATGACCTCAGTGATTTTTTTTACATCAAAATGAACGTCAGCAGCATTTCAGCTGATTGCGCAGCCTCTGTCATCTCATCTAATCTCTGTCAGAGGTGTCAGTGAGCTCAGGAAACTCTTTTACAAACAATGATTATTGACAAGCTAAAAAAGGTGCATTTTCACATTTAAAAAAAAAATACTAAAGATTCGGAATAATGCTGGGTGATATGGCAAAAATACAATTTCCATAATTATTTTCCATATTGAATGATAACGATATATGTTTCGATATAAGTTGTTAATGCTTCCAGATTTAAAAGAACAACCCAACAACGACTGAAGGCACAAAAATTAGATTGGCTGAAAATTGTCGGCTGATAATATTTCAGCGACTGAAAATTCAGTACATCTCAATATCAATACACTTTTAGATTTTCATTGTTGCACATTGATGCTGTGTGATTGGCTCTTAGATCAATATAGAGTAAAAAAAAAGTCCAGAGCTTTTCATTGTTATTGACATAAATTTTATGGAGATTCAACATAATATCGTTTATCGGCGCAGCCCTAGTATGGAATACAAAGCTCTGATTTAACACTGCATTCCACTTTCATTATGTGATCATGCAAAAGGCCACACATTCACAAATAATGTTAAAGCCATTTTACTGTACATTGACCAGTGTCAAAGTTCATACTAGGACATTACCTTTTTAAACATCAAATGACAGAATCTAAATAATCAAGCAGTTTAATTTGAACTTTGATGTGACCAGACATGAAAGAGTGCTGTTCATTTTATGTTTTGCTGAAAGCTAAACATGTAGTTGCATGTTCTTGGAAAAAAACAAGACAGTCCTGGTGTATCTCAGTGGATAAAGGAGATGACATCTTACCTTGCCTTACCTAGGCCTAACCTATTTTTTGAAAAACTAAATGAATATATTTTGGTCTGTTTGGAAAATATTCTCTGACTTTTTGGAGAATCTAGATGTCGATTCTTTTTTGAACTGACAGACATTGAAAGTATATAGATTAAACAAATATTTTATTGCTGTATTATTTAACATTAATATTGGTTTTTGTTTATTTTGCTTTTTTATTTTGTGCTGTATTTTTGTTTTTGTATTATTTCTTACAATTTAATTACTTGTTTTTTTTTTGCTAAACTGAAAAATTAAGTCTGTCAATTTGTATGACAATGTTTAAAATAAAAATTGTTGTTAAAAAAAAAGAAAAAACTAGGTGGTTTAATAATCATTAAATTATCAGTGGCATTAAATGATGATTATATCACTTATTGTATTAATTTCTGTGACAATATAACGTGCAACCAAACATTATGTATTGTGACAGGCCTAGATACCATTGGAGAATTCTCAAAAACTAGGCCCACATGACATCTGCATGCGCAGAAATCCACAGATATTTAGCCCATCATTGCGTCTATTTATTTACTTGTGTAAATGTAAGCAAATGTATATTTTTTCAGTTTTATATGAAAATGTTCATATGATTTATTTACAATATAGTTTGTAAAAGCAATATTTTCTGTCTTTTTACATGAGAGACTTGCTTTGTTTAGCAAAAAAAAGTGGATATAATTGTATTCGCATTGTAAACATTCAATAAAAATTTAAAAGGTATTATTTTTATGTCATATATAAAGTTTTTAGTTATGAAACTCCTAAATTTATTCAGCATAAATACGCAGATTTTTTACAAAATTCTCTGCAGAAACAGCAAAAAATGTCTGCAGATTCTGTCTGGCCTTAGCAATAACCCACAAACAATTAAAAAGTCACATCCGGCCTCCAATGTCTAGCAATGGTGTGAAGTAAGTCAGTGTCAGTGTGATGATTTTATTACATACGTGCAAAATGTGCTGTAGCTAATTGGCACAAAAGCTAGTGTGAGATTACATCACTGGAATATAACACAAGAATTGATTTCTTCATTCAAAAATGAGTTTCATATCCCAATCCTTTATCAATCAGAATCTAAAAATGTGTGTGTGTGTGAATGTAAAAACATGTTCACGTTTAATCTGGGTCTACGTCGATTTCCAAATGAGGGAAATCACACATTTTGTTCTGACTTGCTGTTTGTTGATTCTCTATAAATGATTAAGCACAACGTGTCTACTGCTGCCACATCTCCTAGCCTACAGAGCTGATAGCGCATTCCTCCAATTATTTGACTTGTACCACTCATTTCATTCTTGTAAAACGGTCATCACCCCAAGTATGTTTAAAAATCTTCCAGTCCCTCTTGTGTTTCAAAGCACGGCCAGACAATTTACAATTAATCTCTATTGTAGCATGCGACTTCTAAACAAGCACTGATTGAATTTTTCCCCAAATTCTCCCCAGAGAGCTTTCCTTTCCTCAGGCTTGTTTACCATCCAAGAAGATGTTTCCCACAACTCGAACATTCACCAAAACATCTGCACTCATGACACAGTGGTAAAGGGAAGTTCACTATCGTAGCCTTGGAAACGCAGTGACATCATTTCACCCTTGACACTGAATGAGTTTTTTTGTGGGAACCTGTCTGGCTTTTGATGGATGCTTTTGGTGTTTTTGTCTTTATACAAACTAATTAGTGAAAGACAATATGTTAAATCTTTACAGGTAAATGTTTAAATGGAAGTGTAAGTAATGTGCATGTTTGAATGGGTATTGTAGTTTCGTAAAGAGCGAACATTTTTCCATGTAACATCAGTCAAATAATTAACACCCAGTGAACTGACTGCACAGAATATCCATCCCTCACAGCCTCATTTCATTCATTTTTAAACAATAGACCTTGGTGATTTTTAAAATTCATATCAATGGCTACCAGAACATTACAAGTAAAAAAAAAAAAACTGAGTAAACTAATTATATATTATATACATTATAATATACTAAAATAAATAATATCTCCAGATAGTGTGCTGAGATCTTATGAAACAAAACTATTAGTCTGTGAGAAATTGAACTTCATTTACAACATTATTTCCTTTAATTAAAGCCGCTGGAAAACACCCTGAAGTGTTTGTACTACAGTTTGGAGCACAAACTTCCATGTATGCGCAGGTGTAAACTCACATGAGCTGACAAAGTTTACAGAAGGATTATGCTCGAGTTATATTCATCAAATTGGTACTTGTGGTTATTTAATGCTGTGACCTATATAAAAAAAAGTTTGTGTGAACTGTGTTAGAAGTAGAGTTTGCACATGTGAATGCCTCATTCTTATGTGATTACATCATTTGACTGTAGATAAAAGATAGTTAAGTTGAAACGAATTTCACAGACTGTGCATTTCCAGTATATCTCACTCCATAAGACCTTAATATGTGATCAGGAGCTACAAATTCAGCTAAAATTGTACTTTCATGTTCTTCTGAAAAAAAAAGTCACCAATATCTTGAATGGCCTGAGGGCAAGTTAATCAACAAAGCAAATGTACAATTTAAGAGAACCGTCCATTTATATTTGTCAAACAGAATCTATGACTAAATGACTGTCCTAACTCACGCCCTTTTAAATTTGTTTTTTAATCCTTAATAAATATTTTTAAGAGTAAGTTTGTAGAGATAATCACTTTTTTACTGGACACTATTTCCCAAGTATTTTTTGTTTGTTTGGATTACATAAAGTGCATATATTCCTTTGTTTTTGGGATTTCTTAACGTATTAAAATCTGACTTGAAGCAAAATAAGAAAATTAATCTGATTTTAACCATCCCTTAAGAAAAACAACAACTTGTCTCCGCGCGATCAAAACAAGTTAAGACTTGGCAACCCTCTTTGTTAACGACCAGACGCACATCAGTCCTGTCGCGTCCAAGAAAAGACACGCAGGGCTCTGTACAAAACAACACGTATATTACATGTCACCGGCTGACACAAAAAACACTAAATACACACAACAGCACAAGTGTCTAAATCTACATTACGACAAATAGACTTCAACGTTAAGGTTATTGCCTTTAAGCACATCAGCTGTTCAACAAAACAACCCCATCAGCGTTTAAACGCCCTGTAAAGCGCTCTTGTTATGTGGGTAAGATTTTAGAGTGATTCTCTAATAAAACGGTATTTTATAAAATCATTGCTCTTAAAGTAAATCACGCTGAATGACGGTAATATAGAGATTATTTTGTAATAGATGGCGTGAGACGTGACATCCTGTTTTTCTAACGTAGAGGGCAGCCGAACCCCTGCGTCATTTTAACGCAGATTTCCAGCGCTATACATGGAGTATAATAAACACATTCGGTTGATATTTATATGAGAAATTAGCAAGAAAGCAAATAAAATGGGTAGCTATTATCACCGCTTTAACACGAGCACCGCATCCCATCTTATTCTCCACTCTTATTCTCTTATTCTTTAAGAATAAAGTTGAGAAAACAGAATCGTGTCATTAGCTTACCTTGTCGTGTCGTTTGTTTATCGTCGGTGTCTAACTGGTACCGTTTGCAGAAAGGGCAGCATCTTTAACTACACCAGGAACCCTGAAGCACCGAGGGCAAGCTGCCAAAGAAAGTCACGTGATACCGGTAAAATTAACGTCACGTGGCTATCTTTGCAAATCAGACGAACCGACCCGGTCTGTCAACATGCCCATTCAGGTGCTGCCCGTGAGCCAAAAAAGCGACCTATTTAAAGGTAATGTTTTCGTCAGAATGTGTTAAAAGAGGTTGCTGATTAATTCTGTTCACACCTCATATAGTAAAAGGTGATTAACAAACTTTAGAGGAAAGAAAATAATTAAACCGAACGATATAGGTCTACTGAGAAAACAAAAAGGAAGATATTTATCAAAATGTACACACAACGCTTTTTCTTTCTGGTCACAAACTGTAATTCAAATATATGTTTGACAAATAAGCCTATATAAAACATAAAATAGTTTGAAATATCTTTTTTTAAATACTTTAAAAGATAAGTATCTTATTCTTACCAAGTCTACATTTATTTGTTTAAAATTTAGAAAGAGCACTATTGTAAAAAAAAAAAAATTATTTAAATTTAAGAAATAATTGTCCTTTATTTTATAAAGGTACACAAATAATATATAAATTAACCGCAATACATAATTATCACCTGTGATGGAAAGGCTGAATTTGCAGTCACTTTTTGTCAATTTATTGCATTATTGCTAAAGTATTTCTAATAAAACATTTCTTTATTTTTTTAAACAAAAAAAAACAATCATATTTTAACTTTATTATTTGAATAAAATGTCTCTTTGGTGTATAAAAATAATACATAGTTTATTTTTGTTGTTTTATTTGCAATATTTACACACAAAATTGACAAAACATTCTGTAGCATTGCATATAACCTCCAAAGACTTTGCTGAAGCAGCTTTTTTTCATGTCAAAGTAATTTCACCTCTCGCATTGCAATGTGAGTAAATGCGCCTACTGTACATGTCCGTTAAAACTTACTAGTCTGCAGATCATCTTTGCAATTAGACAGTCTGTGCGGAGGAATGTGGCATGGTATTGACCTGTGTACTAATACTGTTCTCTTAGAAGAGAATCGTACATAAGTGTTCGAAGTAAAGGCCAAATGCACAAAACAGTGTGAACATTTCATGACATATTGTGAATATTTTATTTCTATTCTTGCTGTATACATACTGCACCACTGTTATCAGTTAAAAAATAATGTCTTGTTGCAAGATACACTACAACCAGAAACTACTGAGTCTGTTGTGCAACATGCACAGTATAACATCAGAAATGTGTAGCACATACACACACATGCAAAAACACAAGATACATTTGGCTATACCAATAACACATGTCTGGTTAAAGAATCTAATCTTAATAGGTTGTGAAATGACCTTGAAATTAAAGTTTATATCTCATAAGTCTATGCTATTACATCACAGTTCTGACTTTTTATAAGCATGTAGTTTCCATCTCGATTACATGATTTAATTTCTCACAATTGTAAGTTTATATCAGGGGTCACCAATCTCGTTCCTGGAGGTTCGGTGCCGTGCAGGGTTTAGCTTTAACTTGCCTCAACACACCTGCCTGGGTGTTTCAAGTATACCTAGTAAGACCTTGATTAGCTTGTTCAGGTGTGTTTGATTAGGGTTGGAGCTAAAATCTGCAGGACACCGGACCTCCAGGAACAAGCTTGGTGATTCCTGGTTTATATGCTCTCACACTCCTGAATTTTTACCTGCAAGATGTACACTTGCACTTTGTGAGATTACCCTAAGTGTGACTGAACAAGTGAGACAGAAACTCACGAATGCAAGAACAAATTCAGAAGTTTTTTTGTTTGTTTACATTTGGAGAAAAGTCTGAATTGTGAGATATAAACAATAACCATTTTTGTGGAAAAAAAATCAATAATAACTTGAATGACATGAATCATAACAAAAGATATTAACAATATTTTACAACAACCATAAAAGTGAATGCTGTGAAGTGAGTATGATTAAGGGAAACAGCCAAATCCTTCATAAAGTCTCTTGTAAATAATCTGCTTTTGTGCTGCTGCTTTTCTTCTACTCCTCAGACAAAGGAATGTAATCAAACCAGTTCTTGACCGTTCATCAGAACATCATGTTCAAAGGCACTGGAATAATCCCTTCAGTTTGCAAACTGAGAAACAATGACACCATCAGAATGGGTGTTAACTTGATGAGATTTTTAGATTTAAAACTGCATTGCAGCATAACCATCGAGAGAGTTTAAACTCTTTTCTTATGTTCCATTATGGAGCATTCCAAACAAAAACACGTGCTAGAAATCTCTCATATTAATAATGACATTTCATACTGCCATAAAACATCTAATATCAATCTGATATCAATTGTATCTCGTGCAGCTTGTGCACAACTGTAAACCAGAGGTCTTGTTTAGCATAAGTTAGCCAGCCTGCCACCTATGGGTGGTCTGAGCATTTTCAGTGGATACTAATCCTAAAGTTGAGGCCACCAAGATGGCAACGTTTTCACCAAGGCAGACGCAGATATCAAGCAAACAACGCGTGCGTGCCGTCAAGGTCAGGGCCGCAGTGATGATCTCGTACGTCTCACGGGTCACAGCCTGTCGAGCCCTCAACACGTCCAGGAGGTTGTTGAAACGTCCTTCGGTCATGTAGCGAACAATGGCCTCTCGTCTCTCTTGCAGAAGTCGGCAACAGCTCTTTCCCGCAGACAGCTGACATTTGACTTGAGAAAGAGGAAGGATTACATTAGAGTATAAGTCCTGTATTGTGATAATATAACTTCCAAACTAACACAAAGACACTTATGCTGTGCATTACTGGACTGTAAAGAGTTCAAGCACTCTGATTTTATATATATAAACTCATCTGTGATCAAGCATGCCTAGTGTTTAGTCTTTAAAATAGAACCGACTGAGGCAGAATTAATATGACAAGGCAAATGCTGAACAGATATTCATGTTACTCATATCTTGGCTCTTCTGTAGATTTTTAAACCTATCGTTGAGTTTATCTTGTTACTAAATGTGTGTACATATATATTTATTTTGTTTTATATTAACTTTAGTATTAATTTTGACTACTATTCAAATGTTTATAGAATGTATTTTTAATAAAGTTCTTGAAGTCAGATTCTCTGACTAAAAATTTAAGACCATTACGAATTCTATTGCAAACTTATACACAAATTTTTCTCCTCCAGTGGAAATAATTTGTACTGGTTTAATTTAATTTAATTTTTTCATTTAGTTATTTCTTAGCCACATATTTAAATAAAGTGTTAAAAGAAGCAAACATGTTATTTACATATAGTTGTTTTTCAGCATGACTATTCTTTTTAAAAAAGTTTTAAAACCTATAATAAACAAACATTATTTTAGCCCATCATTGAGTTTATTTCTTTACTAAATTTGTATTAATATATATTTATTCTGATTTTATATTAATTTTAGTAATATTTTTGACTAATACGCAAATGTTTATAGCAGTATTTACAATAATGCATGTAAAGTCAAGGTTTCTGCAGGTTTCAAGTCAAATTTAAGACTTTAAATCATTTTAAAGACCATTATGAATTATATTTCAGACTTATACACAGATTTTTTTAATGGCTAATGGAAAAGATTTGCTTCTAATTTAGTTATTTCTTAGCCACATATTTTAAATAAATTGTCAAAAGAATCAAAATTGTTTACATTTACTTTTACATTTACTTGTTTTTAGCATAATTTGTCTTTAAAAAAGATAGACTAGTTTTAAAAACTATTATAAACAAAATTTATGCACAACAATCTGTCAAGTTTGTTGTCCTCACCAGATAGCTATAGAATACATGGAGAATGTACTTTAAACATATGTTATTGTGAGAGGAATATAATTAAACAATACTGGTAAATACAGTTAATAAATGTAACTTTTTGTTAAAGTTTTTTTATTAAAATGGATTGTTGTTTTTGCATGGGTGCTGGCTTGGTCGGGAGGCTTTACATGAACATAGGAAAATTAATACCCGTTTAAAATGACTTAAGACTTGGATTTGCATTGTAAATCAAATCAAATAAATTATTTTTTTGTGTCTAGTTAATGTACTTCCAAATTCATTCAGCATAAATCTGCAGATTTTTTTAAACAAAACTATGCATGCAGATTCTGTCTAGCTCTACATGTATTGATTAATGCTTCCAATGTCCTCTGATTATAATTACAATGTCAAATTTTGATTCACTTTACTTTTTTTTATGGAATTATGAGTAATTCCAATTGATTTGATTTTGCATGCTCTGAAACCCAACACCAACCATCTTTTTTTAGGTGAGAGCAAAACAAATCCAAACAACAAGCCTTGGACTGTTTAGAGATATTAATGGTAATAATAATTCAGTATTCAAATACAAAATGTTGTACAATAAGGAAATCAATGTTTATAACAAATTCTAACTTTGTGCTTACATTTTAAATTTAGCAATAATAAAATTGCACATATAAAAGACTAGAATAGATAGCTTTAGAAAGTACCTTTAAGTGTTTTCATTGCATCATTGAAACTTCAACAGTGGCGTATTTATTAAAACTCGGCTTCGCTCTTATCTCCAATACTACTTGAATTTAAATGAACAAAACAAGAGTATTTCTGGGAAAAACAAAACCTCTCTGGGGAGGAAACACACTGGACACAGATAAGGCATTAGTGGGAGGTTATTCAGGAAGCAAGAGCGAACACAGTCCCACAGAACTGCTTACTGCGCACATGTAAAAGCACAACACAAACAAGGACTGACACATCTGCTGTGTCCAGGTAGTTATGCCAACAGTATGTACACAATATGTACACAAAAGCTCCTCCATATTTGTTTAGCTAAAATAAAACCGGCTGACAGAGAGCAGAACACCTTCCAGATGGATTAAAGCATGTTTATGTTCTTGGTGCAAATTCATAGGTTGCAATATGTGGGATCAGAGGGAATTGGTGGGATTTAAATACGCATACTGTTAGGACTTTTTGGAGAAGGAATAAATTTCTCACCTTGGTTGCCCGTGTTGTGTTGTGAGTTGCTCAGGAATCGCGATGTAGGAGAAACACATGGTGATCTTAAAGATGTAGGACTTTGTCTCTGAACTCCATGATTTCCATTACCATAATCTTGCCAGGGGTTATTAGAATGGACTGAGCTTTTTCCTGAGTCTGTAAGACATGAACAGGGGAAAAAATCATAAGACATTTTTTATTATATTTAACCAATGTGTACTGTTCAAATTGCAAGTTGCAAAGCCATGACACCACATAAAAAATCAGCAGTAAAAATAATAAATTTGACCTATACCAACAGGGAAAACCACCAACCATCAAGAATGCATGATTATTTGGTGTCAAGGCTTTGCAATCGAAAAAATGTCATTATAATGTAAGTCAATGGGGCAAAAACAGCCACTAACATAACGAAAGAGTAGTACATTTTCCCAGAGTGTGTTGAGTTTTAAAAAAATTCCAAAGCATTTTCCCAAAATATGTGTCAACATTAGATTTGTAACCAAAAATCACTTCATTTGCTGAAACACAGAGAAAGTTGTGGCTAAATAAAGCTTTAAAATCAGTCCAGAGTTGATGAAGACATCCCCAACATCACACAAGGGTTAAGAGGGAGATATACAATTAAATAAGTAATCACTGACCCCTGCAGCATCTGGTCTGAGAACAGCCTCTTATTGTTATTGACAGAGAAGCCTCTCTTTTTGCTTTCGGTGAAGACACGGGTAGAGTTTGATGCTGTGGAATCACCTTGGAGGTCCATTTTTTTGTGGTACCTTGGCAACTGTTGTCCTGTTAGAGGTTAAAGACAATGTTCAGAATCCATCCTTACAGAACAACAAAAAAACATGTTGCATGTTAAAATCACACAAAAGCTCATAAAACACCTTAAAGGTTAAACTCATATGAACCCAATTACATGGCTTTCACATTAAAAACATTCATTAAAGCTTTAATCAAAATCACTAGCCCCCTTCCTCCGCTTTAATTAGCACACTATGTGTTTTGTAAAATAAAGCATAGGACTATAGCATACTATACATTCTCAGACACTTTTCAAAAAGTACAGTTTTGTACCATACAGGTGAATGCTAGTACCTTTAAGGTGCAATTTTGTACTTTTAAGGTTAACTTTTGTACCTTATTTGTACAGGTATTAAGATGTACCTTTTGAGGACTTGTTAGGAGCAAAAATGTACCTTTTGAAAAGGTCCCACCCCAGTGACAGATTTTGTACCTTTATTTCTGAGCGTGTAGCATATTTGCTCAAAAATAACACATTATAATATGAAACTAAAAACATTTCAATGCCAAATTAAGTAAAACATGCTCAAATTAATTGCAATAGTTGTCTTACTCCGAGGTTATGTAGCTCAATAGGCAACTCCCAGGTTGACTGCATTTTACAGCTCAGCAGCCTCCTCTCCTGGTCAAACACACAAGTAAAAATATCTGAATACACAATCAGTAATTGTTCACAGGCATTAGGACTGCACAATATATTGTTATAGCACTGCATGTTTCAGTAAAGCATTATTTTTCATTGGATTGTTTAATTTCTGAATTAACTTGTATTTAAGTGCATTTTAAATACCAAATTTTAATCAAAGATATCTTACATTTTAATTTAGACTTTTAAACCTAATTCAATTATTATTTAGCACAATAAATGGATAGTTCACCCAAAATTCAAATGTACTTACAATTTACAATTAACCCTTAAGTATTTACAAAGCTTTATGGGCTTTTTTCTGTTGAACCCAAAAATAGATATTTTGGAGTAACCATTGACTTTCATAGCAGGAAAAACAAATACTATGAAAGTCAATGGTTATTTCAACATTCTTCCAAATATATTCCTCTGTGTTCATTAGAAAAAAGAAACTCAAACAGGTTTGAAACAAGTGGAACTATCAATTGAATCAGTAGTTAAATACCTTGCATGTTTTCAGATGATGAACAGCTTCCGTGACAGTCTGAGGATTAAACGCTGCCAATGTTGTCCTGAGAACCACTGCACACTCTGTATGAGCAGAACATTTTTATTGATCCAAAAACATTAAATAAATTCTCCACAAAACAGCCATATTAAATAAACTACACAACTAACCCTTTGCCGAAGGGCGTTTTTGAGGTTCACCACTCAAGCATCTAGTGATAACTTGGGTAAGGGATTGATTTTGAGGGGTCGTGGGTGGCAAAAGGTCAACCCCTAAACCAAGCTCCAACTGATTCTGAAGCTGATCAATACCTGTATGAAAAAAAAAAACATGAAAAGTGAATGGTTTATTTATAGCACATTTAATACACAATGGTAATTCAAAGTGCTTTACGTAAACAAAAATGAAAGAGCATAGAACAACAAAGAATAAAAATGGATTAGAATGTGTTCCTAATGGATTATTATGGCTAAATAATAAGAAAATTAGATTGAAGAGACAATAACATACCTTCACATGGTCGCTTTCTATTTAGTGTTTCCCATAGCAGAACCCCAAAACTGAAAAACCATTTAAAAAGCGTAAATTAATCTAACAGTTCTACTCATTATTCTGAAACATTTGAATATAATGCACCTTACCTATACATGTCAGCCTCCACAGAAGGTGCAGCACCTAGTATGACTTCAGGCGACACATATGCCAGATCTCTGAAACATGGCCCACGGCTATTAGAGCTGTTCAATCCCATGGCCATCTCTTGACACCAGTCGCTCAGCTACAACAACAAACATTTAGTACAGCAGCAGCACAAACATTGCTGTCATAAAGCTATCTCTGGGCCTAGCAGTACCTTAGCACGGTAATGTTGGTCAAGAAGAACATTAGTGGCTTTCAGAGCTCCATGCAGCAGAGAAGCAGCATGCAGATGAGCTAAACCTTCAGCAACATCCAATAGAATCTGTAGACAAAGAGCTGTTGAAAGCTCTGGGAACAGGTCCGTCTAGAGAAGCAAAAGTAAAGAATGTTAGAATTTATGAGACATTTAATGAAATTTTTTTTTATTGCATAACCATCAGGAACAAACACACAAAACAACATAAAAGATGAAACGTAAAAAAACTAATATAACAATGGTTAAAAAAACAAACAAATATAAATAAAATAAAAATAACAAATTAAATAAAACACACAATGCATAGTGTACAGTATTTCTACATCCAATGGTTTTAAGAAATGACAGGGTAATCAAAAAAAAGTGTTAGAATAATTGATTCATATCTCAGATTTTTTGCTTTTTAACAATTTCACAGTAGAAATAAAGAAGTCAAACTTGATACAAAGAAATTAATGTCAGAGATAATTTAGCAAATTTCTGTTTGTGTATGTAAAATTTTGCCAATAAAATGAAGAGATTAACAATATTATCAAGACTTTTGTTGGATTTGTTTTTAAAATAAAGAGTAATATCTTTTAATGTAAAATAATAAATAAAATAAATAAAAGTTTTGTCATTTTAATACATATATCTGGCTAGATCCTTCCAGAAATTGTTTACAACGTTGCATTCAAAAAGGTAATGTTAAAGGCTCTCTTTATCCACATTGCAGAAACCACAGATATCCTCCATTTCAATGTACTTTGATGATAAATATTTTACTGGGTAGATTGCATGTAGTGTTTTAAAAATAATTTCCTTAATTTTGTTTTTAATAGTGTATTTGAAGGGAGTTAACCAGGCTCTTTTCCAATTAATATTAACTATAATAGAGTTGCAGAAACAATTGCCTTTAGGAGTCATTATCTTTTGATTAAAAATATATATATTACGAATAATTACGAGTACATTTTTTATCAGTCAACTCAACACCTTCTAAATGTAATTTTGGGTTTACAACAGATATAGAATTATAGCAAATATGATTTTTAACAAGTTGAACAATTTTTACAGGGATAGATTTAATAACTAAAATAAATTCTCTAAGTAGACCTGATTGTTCATATAAAAGAATATTTCCGAAACTGTCAAAAAGTTTTTAAAAGATGATTTATGTCTCTATTAAACCAATTTAATAAGAATAAAGATTTATCTGAAAAGGTTACCATTATTCCAAATAAAGAGGAGAAAAATTGTTAGAGTAACACATTTTTTAAGCAAGAATGGCTTGTTGATGAAATTTAGTTTAAGGGGAAATATTATAATCACATTCTTTAAAAAATCAAGCCAGGTTAAAAAGATTATGAGAGACATTTAATGATAGTGAGTATTAGTTATTACTGATGATGCAAGAGTGCTAATGTTATGTATTGGAATGCTGCTGCTCTTCATTAGTGCTATTTTTAGCCCTCGTTCCTTGAATCGGGGATTTCCATTATCTCACTGTCAGAGCAGTGAACACACCTACAATACCCTAAAATCAACATTCACACTTCCTGCTTTAGAAATCAGACCTGTCAGTTATGTTACGCACCTGCCTTTAGCTTATTAAATCATATGTTCAAATAAAATATGGTATTTATTGCATGCATAATATTGGCTTACCTCATGCAGCAGAGAATCTAGAGATCCTTCAGGCATCCAATCCCAAACCAGACCAACTAGAGAGTGTGATGTGCACACACCCAGCGGGATGAGTACTTGCTCGCAACACACCTGCCCCAACATCCCTGCTCTCTTTAACCTGTCAATCCATTTACTGAAAAGAAAGAGAGAGAGAGAGAGAGAGAGAGAGAGTTAGGTTTTGTTTTCCATTTCTTGGAAATACCCTGTTAGCTGCAATAGCTTATGCTTAAACAAATGTTAAATAAATACAATAGGCCTATATTATTAAAATAAATATAAATAATTCAATACAAGTTTTACTGCACACATTTTTGCAATATTGAATAGAAAAGAAATTAATAATAGTTATTATTGTTCTGTTATTATTTATATTTTGTTAGCAAGTGTAAATTTATTAATTGTAAATTTAAGTATTTAATACAATATGTATGTTTACTACAAAATGCACTACTAATAAACACGCAAAAGTGATCAGGCACAGATACAATGACTGGAAATGCACTTCACCTATCCTTGATTAACTTGACAGCCACTTTGCCTCCAGTTCTCCCGAAATGTCCTCGCAAACAGGCGCCTACGCTCGTTCTCACCAGAACTACATCTCGCAGGTCCTTCTCATCAATAATCTTTAAATGACTATGCTGAGCCATATTTCACTGTCTGTAGCGCAAAGAGCATTTGACTGCCTATTGAGCTAAAAGCGAAAGTAGTCAAGACTCGAGCCCGGCCCCGGATCGCGTGCTCTCTTGACACGTCACTTGTTTACGTCGCGTCTAATTGGCTATTGAGCTGACAGAAGTCCCCGGCTATTTTTAACAGTCACTGTCAAACAAATGTAGTTCAAATTGCGTAATTGTTTCATCTGAGAGAGTGCAACGGGTTTTCTGTGCTGCTTTTTTCATTCACACATAGAAAATGTTAGCAGTTTAGGGATAGTTCTCCTTCCCCAAATAAAAATAAAGTCTTTCATCATTTACATATCTTCTACTTCTAAACCTGTTTGAGTTTTTTTATTTTTTTTATTTTTTTTTTATTTTGCACTCAAATAAGATGTACCGAAAAATGTTGAGGGAAATAACTTTAATTCAGAAGCAGAGTTAGCATTAGCACAAAATACAGTCCTGCCTATTATATAATTATATGATCAATATATGATCAATACACTGTAAAAAATTTCCAGGTTTTCACAACAAGTTACTGTAATTTTTCACAGTAAATTACATTAGAATCCCTTCACAGTATTTAACTGAAAAATTCACAGTAATATGTTGTATTCATAATTTTATTGTGAAATTACGGCAGGCAGCATGATTACAGCAAATTACTGTGAAAAGGGCTATATCTTTTGCACGTTAGTTATAGAAATTCAAACCTTTTTTTAACTCAACGTAGAAATTAATACAAATGAACTTTTAACAGATAATAACAGAATGTTATAGCCCCCAAAACGATTTGGTTACCAACATCTTTTTGGTTGTACTGCACCTTTATTTAATTTTATACAGTTAACATAGAATAGGAAATAATATTTAATGAACAACTGTGTACTTAGCCAAAACATAATAAACTTGAATAAAAAGTAATTAATTAATGAAACCAAAGACTGTTAAACAGCCAACAATTATTTCAATGTCAGGGTAAATGTCTGCTTTAGACAGTTTCATGAGTATTGGGCACCTTTCATCGCCTGGAGGTCACTAATCTCAGAATTATATATATATATATATATATATATATATATATATATATATACATATAAATATATATATATATATATATATATATATATATATATATATATATATATATATATATATATATAAACCACAGATTAGAGTTTTAAACAACTACATTCTAGCATGAAAAACAGTTAAAACTTAATTTTCGGACGCATATAGAGCCATCGAAGACGGGGCAATTATCCCAATGTCTAGCCAGATCTCCGCGGATACATGAGTAATGAGCGCCGTTACCGCCTGGAGGTCATAGATCTCCGCTACCGGCAAAACACACTTAAAATTACACACAATCTTTACTAACAATCCACAGATTTGAGTTTTGAAGAACTACATTCTCGCATGAAAAAGTATTAAAACTTTATTTCATTACATATTACAAGCAATATTTATAATATTATGTGCCTTCTCATCCACCATTACAGCTTGATGCAGCTTGGTGCGAAATGAATCCTGGGAGGAAAAAATAATAATTCTCAATACACTCCAAACGAACTTTATTCTTATTGTTAAAGTCAGAGATATGTAATATTTTGAATGGCGAAGAAAATAATTAACTTTATATTTCAATCAATATATTACTTTTGCACTGCTTCGGTTCAGGACTCGTGTGACATTGAATCAGATTCAGATATTTTATCAGACGTGTTCATGAGCTCATAGTCATCAACAAGCAATTCGTGTACAAGCAGTAAGTACACGAACCAAGCAATATGATGAAATATTAATGAATTATATGTTTGCGTCTTACAATATTATACAAAATGGAATCGTTTTCAGGCGAATTCGACTCTTTACTATTCACTTAAAGGAGCCGAATTCGACTCTTTACTGTTCACTTAAAGGAGCCGATTCATTTAACAGAACTGACTCGACTCGACCGCAAACAAGCGCCATCACCACAGACAACGCTTACCTCGTCTCTTCACCAAACGAATTCATCCTCGGTAAGTGTTAAAATATGACCTTTGTCCGTTAAATGAGTGTTGTATGTGTATTTCTGTATAGTGCATGTCATTTAACAGGAATTTACCGAGTACTTTAGTTGTACTCGCACGTACAGGGTTTAAGCGCGCCTTTTTTTAAACAAGAAATTAACGACGCCAGATGGTGATTGTAGTGTTTTCTGAGGTATTAGCATAACGTTAACGTTAGTTCCTGATAAAAGAAAGGGAATTTTCTTTAATTAACTTCTTGTTAACTGCATTTTCTGTTTCAGTACAAGACTGAAGTAAAGGTGAAATGACTAAAGTTAAGGTAAGCTCTGACCTTCACTTAAGTTAACGTTACGGTTAACAGTTAGTCACCATCATGTACGTTAATTTTGTTCACTGTAACGTTAACGTTAAGTTAGTTAAATAAACTAAACTCATTATGAAACAAGTCTTAACTGTTTTATTAAATGAGGCTTATAATACAATTCAGTTGTATTCTTTTAAACTAACACTAACACAGTACATATTGTATATTTCTCACTGGTGTTAATGCATTGCTAACATTTACTAATGAGAACTAATTGTATAGTGTCACTAACTGTAGATTTTGTTTTTTGGTGTTCAGGTGTACCTGATAATAGCTGAAGTGTGAGGTGAGTGTAAATTCTGTGCACACAAATATAACCTAAATTCATTAACACAATCTAAACCTATATATATATATATAGTATGTGTGTGCGTGTGTTAGGTTGAGTCTTATTCTACTCTTATTATATTAATATTTTTTTGCAGCCACAGCCATTGATGTTGAAACACTGATGCTACTAATCAACCATCGCTTCATTATTAAAGGTAATGTTGATGCCTTCCTCATTTTTATTAGATTTTTAAATGTCAGGTTTTTCACAGATTTGTTGTGAGCAGTTTCTTGTACAAACTCTTTTTCTTCTTCCAGAAGTTCCACCAGTACCTCCAGTAGTAGTAAATATTAGACAAAGATTTTTTTAAACTATAGTTTTTATTTTTATTAGCAATTTTACTGGGCATGTGTGTTTGTTTGCTTGGTTTTTAATAGGCAGAGCATGGAATGTCAACTTTGTTTCTACAAACAAATTTAATTATTCACAAACACCTCTAATTTAGTCCTTCTTTCCCCCTTTTAGTCTTATTCCTTGGAGGGTTGAGTGGTCATGGGACCTCACCTGGATTTCACAACTGACTTTGGATCTGGTCTGAAACTGAAGTATGCTGAAGATGCCTTTTGCACTCTGGAATTTAAGGTAATGTCTACAATAAATATTGTAACTGAGGGCTTGTTTTGGGGGGGTTAAACAAGGAATGTATAGGAGCACAAGTCATGACTCCCCTTGTCCCCTTGTTATAAAGGGCTGTGTTGCAGACACAATTTGTTTGTCTGTGCTGGAGACCAGAGGGGAAGCTGTCTTTAAAAGGATGGGGCTCTTATACCATATGTGAAGTTACCTTTTCAGGTGAGTGGATTACATACAAGTCATTGCAAATGCATAAATAGTGGGAAATTTTTACTGGGAAGCACAAATTAAGTGAAACTCAAAACATGTGAAAGAATATTTGGAATATTTACAAAAAAACTTGATTGAAATGAATGCAACACAAGTGCTGTATCACTTCAATCAAGTTTTTTTTGCAAAATTTTCCTAATATTTAAATCATGAAAAATTAGCTTGATGCAAGAAACATCCTGCTAGTATTCAAGAGCAAGAACTGTGATGCATGTGTTCACTTTGCAATAAGTGTGAACCCAGCATTAGATCTGTAAACAGAAGATGTAAATCAAATCAACTGTTTTAAAATGCTCGGCCTAGGTCATTAAAACCACTATTTGTTGTTGGACTGTTCTTGAATGTGTGTTTGTGATGGAAATGTTTTTCAGATGTTTTTTGTTTAAATAATTGCAGTTTGACTGAGCTACAGTATTGTCAGCATGTTCAAACTGAGCTAACAGTAATTTTGCTCTGTAGTGCAGCAGTAGTGTCCCAGTAGTGTTGTATGAAGCTAACTGTTTGTCTGCCCTTTTGCTTATAGGTGCTTTTTGGGCACCAGTTTGGAGATGGAAGACAGACAAAGTCAAAGAAGCAGAGAAGACACATCAACCAGCAAGTGTGTAAAATTATCAGGAAAATGATTGACCTTGAATAGACGACTGCCTAATTTAGCAAGAAGTTTTGTCTCTCTCTCTCTCATGTGTGTATATATATATATATATATATATATATATATATATATATATATATATATATATATATATATATATATATATATATATAATGAGAGAGAGAGAGAGAGAGAGCGCGCACTCTGAAGCACTGCTTTTTATGCTACATATGATGTCAGATTTTTTTTATTAATATGTTCTTATAGGATTTTTTGAGGCTTCACCTTCACCTTTTGAAAGTTTTCTGAAATGTTTACACAGATGTCATTAAGCTGTTAAATAAATCTGTAAAATGTATGTGTGTTTGTTTTTATTTTGATTTTAGAGTCTTCTCAGATCACCCAAAAATGAAGATTCTGTCGTCATTTACACATCCTCAGGTTGTTTGGACACAAAGAGGAATATTTGATATTTTTATTCCTGTGTTTAACAAAAAAAATCATTTTTAACAGAGCTGGAACAACCTGAGGGTGAGTAAATCAAGATAGAATTTTCATTTTTGTGTGACCTAAAATTGCTTTGAAATTTTACAGCACCAAACTGTTAAATTACAGTAATCCGGGATATAACTTTAACTTTACAGTTAAATCAGGTATTTAAACTGCAACCTACTGCTAAATCACAGTAATCGTTTTGCAAATTCACAGTAAAATATAGTTAATTCTACAAGATAATACTGTGAAATCACAGTAACAGACTTTATTATCTACTGTAAAGTTACAATATATGGTTGTAATTTCACAATAATTTAATGTGACAAAACCACAGTAAATTACTGTGAACTACCTCACAATAATTTACTGTGAATTTACATACAGTAATTTACTGTGAAAGTAATGCAATTATTAGCCAGTAATTTACTGTGAATTTAAGGTCAAATTTTTTACAGTGTAGTCATTACAACATGTTTTAGTTCACTGTAACTTCATTCTTCAAACTAAGTTCATCATGTTCTAGCTCAATTTTATAAGTTACACAAGCTCTTTTAAATCAGTGTAACATAATATAAGTTCTATGGACTCATACGGTTAGTTTGATTCAGCTTAAAAATTTAAGGCAACAAGGATTTTTT